ATGGAGGTTGACCACCTGCTCTAGTGGGCGACCGCATTTACCCAAAGCTCTGCGCCTAACCTCAGCATTGTTCATCCGACTACCCCACCAGATTCGTGCAATGCTACGTAGGCAGCGGTGTTCAAACACCGAAAGTCTGTCTTTATCTTGTTTTCTTAATGGCCAAGTTTCAGCACCGTATAGCAGAACTGGCCGAACTGTCGCGGCATGCACTCGACCCTTCACAGACAGCCCGTTGTCACGACGGCGCCACAGATGTCTCAAGTTGGCAAATGCAACCCGAGCCTTCTGTATGCGAGCTGACACTTCATCCGTGATGTGTCCACCGGGTGAGATGTAGCTGCCCAAATAACAAATCTTATCCACCTGCTATATTACTTCCCCAGTTAGAGTGAGGCTGGATGCTGGACCAACCCAATCTTGTAGCAACATTTTACACTTTGAGGGTGCAAAACGCATACCGAATATGGCTACACTGGCATTCAAGTTATCCGGAAATGCTTGCAACTTACCTGGATCTTCACTTAGTAGCACAATGTTGACCTTTCAGGCATGATTGGATGTACGGCTATGAGAAACCACCCTGTATGGCTCGCAGGGTCATGGAGGCACAGAAGGCGTTACACCACGCCAAGGTGCAGTCTCATCGTGATGGTTCGAAACCTCTGGTTTGTTCCAATTAACATCATGATTTCTAGCCCTTCACCAGACGAAGTTGCAAAATTTCGCCAATTTCTCTGATCAAGCAGCGTGGAGAACCTCAAAACTGTAAAATTAGACCCAATGGAGTCTGCCCAAAACATTTGAATAAGTAGTGGTACTCAAGCGGTTCAATTCACTAGCACTGATGCCTTATAACTGGATTGCTTTCTTCATTAGTTCTTAGGTTAACATGGCATTCCAGGTGGGATGACCTCAACACCATTTTGGAATTTGAGGGTGGGAAACAGATGCCAATCATACTTCCACTGACAATCAAACTGTTCACCAATAATAAACCCATTCGTGTGTTCACTTCGAAATACAAGGCCACCTAGGAGAAAATCGCGACGCTATCCTCATCTAATATAGAAACATGTTCCATCATAAAGCTCGAAAGAATAGTCTTTTGTCGAGGTTAGATCAAATCCATAAATACAGATGAATGCATCTTTTTCATTCTCACTTCCTCTCGTGCAGTGCATATACAAAGAAACAATTTTCAGGAAAAAGGAAACGATCAATCTAAGGGCTGTCATACTGCACGAGCAAAAAGAAAGGTGCACGATAGTATGAATCCATAGAAAAACACCTTTCCGGAACTTGACATTTTTAAAACAACGTCTAATTTTGACTTGTGCAGGTATCCGCTACTGTCCAAGGATTTGCGTGGGTCGTTAAATCTCGATATGTTAAATGTGTTCGCCGTTTGCGATAGAATACTTCGTGATGATCAACAATGAAGACCGGAGAACTATTTCTTTCTCATTAGGACTCTGATCACACACTGGTTTGTGCCAAGGGGTCTGCGAGATGAGATGTAATCAGCTTGACGTCGCCAAGATCTCTCTTTCGGCAGTGCTAGCCGACCACCAAAACGAGTTGGCCGCAAGGCTGGCTACTACCCCACAAAGAAGTGTAGATTACCACTGGACAATCATTCAAAACGCAGTGCACTCAGTTAGTCTACACAGTTCTGGTCTGACCCGTCGAGTTATAAAATACTGGGTCTCCTCCAACTCTCTCACAAAAGCATGGGAGACAACCAAGAAGCCTGGCGGGCGCTAGGTGCAAAGGAGATGGAACCAGAAGCTAGGTGTGGAAACAATCGGTAATTGTTCCAAATCATCTGTGCTACGAGCCTCAAAAGACTGCATTGGTGAAACAATGTGCGAAGTGGATGACACGCCAATATAGTCTTCGCCGACGCTTGAAACGCTGGGCCGAGCGCTTCAAACGGCAGTTTACCCAGCCTCGCACGTTGGATTCTGCAAGTGGTTCTCCTGAGGGCGCATCGCTCACAGAAGTAGAGATCCGAAAAGAACTCTAAGCCCTGAAACGCCACAAGGCACTTGGTTCAGACAACCTGCACTCTTTGAAAATAGCGCAGAAGCTCCCGTGATAGCTTGCCAGACTGTTCTCAATTATTTGGAAAACTGAAAGCGCAATATATATATATATATATATATTCACCGTATAGTACTTTGTCTCCTGTCTTAATGGCCTTCGAATGCCTCGGCATGCTCGGGACGGGTTTCGGGCTATGACCAATCCCCCCTTCCTTGCACTTCACGAAATGCTCCTATAGAACCAAGTGTCTTTAAAAACCTCTGCTGAAGAAGCCTTACTCGCTTCACTCCTCGAGATTTTCCTATTTGAGTGAGAGGACGTAAAGTCAACGACCGGGGCTACAACAGGGTAGGTGAACCACGGGCAGTTCACCTAGGGGGGGGGCTCCTAGAAACCCTGATTCCAGACGAACCAAGAATAGGCAGACGAACCACACACGCACACACTTTTTAGGTACACGTGTATATTTATACACTCCTTTTATGCTCAACAATTAGTTCTACATGCAAGTAACAGTACACCCATTCAATGTTCACATCATGATTTGTCGGACCACATGTATTAACTTTTCTTCAAGCCAGAATAGCTGAAAACAATTGGTATTTATTTATCTTTGATGCAAACTAATCTTCGACGAACTAAGCACCAATAAACGACTATAAAATGAACGGATCTATCACATTTATTCAGTTGTTTAGTGATACGGATCTGTTTCGTCTTTAGGTTAACCCCAGAAAGAGAATTCACAAGGTAGGTGCAGGTATATTTATTAGCAAATGCCGGGCATTCCTGGCATAATCAGAAGCTGATATTCATAATCATGTTCCCGAAGCCTCCATCATCATCACCATCGTACAGCGGGACACGGTGAGGCGAACTTCACTGATCACTGCCAAACTCATGTTTACAAGGCAAGTGAGAATGTTTAACGAGGACAGGGATTTCGCCTAGTTGAGGGGACGGGGAAAGAAAGCAAACCCCTAGTCAACACACGGAGTACACAGTTCAACTGTGCATACACATCTTCGAGCATCAACATCATCATCATTGTACAGCGAAATACAGAGAAGCGAACTTCACTGATCGCTGCCAAACTCGCAATGCATATGCATTTGAGGTTTGATGGACGGGTGCTAGGGCGTCCAGCCACTAAGCAGGTCTGATAAGAACTGACAACAAGAACGACACCATTTTTCTGCCACAACCTTTCATGGAACGATTGATTTAGATCGAACGACGGTGGCAATCATCAAAGCGACGAGAACGCCATCTATACCACGTTGTCAGATATGCTTAAGCGTTAAAGGTTGGTCGACGCTCACGCAGATGTTCTCCAAGTACTTCCTCTTTGATCTTGATTGCAAGAAGGATTTTATGGGGTCCGAAAGTCCTCGGTACTACAGGACACCTTGTGGTATTCAACCAGATCGACGAATTACCTCATCTGGCATTAGTCCTAGAAGAAAGATCAAGACATCAAAATAAGGACCTGAACGGACTGTCATTTAAAAAAAGGATTTTACTAGCCTGAGCTTTTTATCTATTGAATAATTGACTATTCGGGAAAGG